CGACAAGCTTTCGAGGCGGCGTCGTTCGTGCCCAAAACTCCGCGATGGGAGGCGGCGGCTTAGTCCCCCACTCCGCGATCCGAGCGGGCATGGACGCCAGTGAGAAGCACGTGCTGATCAAGGCCAAAGCGACGAGGCAGAGAAGGACGGCTTGGAGGCGCCGATGGGTGACCCACCCGAGGCAGCGCCCAACTTGAGAGCTGACTGTCGCGTTTTGTTCAGGATCAATGAGCTGTCGTGGCTGTGCTGGGCCGCGCAGCGTCGGCGCACACCGACGACTATGCCAGCCACCAGACACACCCGACTACTAGTAAAGTAAAGTCTCGACGGTCTGGAAGGAGGGGGGGTCGAACCAGGAAGACTCTGGAGGTCGTGCGGCCTCCAAGGACTCAACAATGCCTTGGCGGTGACGGCGTCATGGTGGATTCATCCAGCCATTTCAGCCAAAGATTGCCGCGTCGTTTGGACGAGCACCGAGTTGAATGGTTCGGACGTTGTCGAGACAAGGCGTTTGGGCCATTGCCGACTGGCCACCGGCCCAGGGTTCAGTGACCTTCAACAGGTACGACATCGGTGCTTGCGGTCGCTTGGACCCGTCGTTGAAGGCAAATTGCCGCGATCCAAGCAAGCCGCAGCACGCTTCGACCACACAATCGTCTTCGCCAACTTATTGTGCCTGGTTCCAGTTTTCCCTCGTCATCGCACATTGCACGCGGCCAAGAGATCCTTCCATCTTGTGCACGGCCGCTGATATCTCTGTTCGAGACTGTTTGAGGAGCCGTGGCGTTGCTGCCTCCATGGCGACATCTTGGCCTCGATCGTCGAGCCATCCTCAACCTGTGTGGTCCCAAGCCAGCCTGCTGCTGCCTCTGGCGTGTACGCGCCGCCACGGAGCCTGCCCACCACAGTACCAGGCAAGACAAGTGCCACCGGCGCACATTCCGATGTGACGTGTCAAAGTCGACGACATGGCCAACGCTTGTCGCGTCGGCTAACGTTTGAAAGCACGTGCATCAGCTCTCTCGCTCGGATCGATCGATTGCTTTTAGACCAGATATTGGTTCAGTTTGGCCACCTTTAGGCTCGGATCGATCGATTGCTTTTAGACAGAGTCAACGATTTATGGTGGTCATCGCGCAGCTCCGTCGACGCCATCTCCCATCACGACTCGGTCGATCTCGTCCATGGAGGCGTCGACCCAACGGCGCTTTCGCACTCTTCCACGAGACAAACGAACGATTGTCATGCAGCCGCCCCTTGTGCAGAACAGGTCGAGATCTGCGGAGCTCGTGGTGCGGTGCATGCGGCAGCTGTCCTGCCAACAAGGCCGCTTCACGAGCTTTCAACGCACGAAACACACTCCACGCACTCTCGATCCATTACACGATCGCTTACGCCGCTACCTCGTCGCGCATCCAAACGTCAGGATGAACGACGTTTTCTTTTCGCACGACTTGACCTTGGCATTGTCGTTGGGCACGATGTACCCGACGGGGCACCGTGGCTGGTTGCACGAAAGGTTCTCGCACTTGGCGACGACGTTGCCCACAATGTCGACCTGCAGTGGAGCGTTCCAGCCGACGCCGCTGCCGCTGCATTGGCTCCACGACGGACCGCAATCGTTCGGGATCACGCTGATATCGTACCAAATGGTCCCGCCGGCGCCGGGGACGACATTGAACGTCGGGTCAAAGTACCCTTCAAACACTACACAGCGCTGTCAGCTACGTATGGGAGACGGCGCTCGGGACGTACATGTGGCATCGTTGTTGGCCGTGGCGCGGATCATGATGTTTTTGCCGGGGCCGTAGTCGAGCGCGTTCAAGTCGAACGACTGGTACGGGCCAAGGTTGCGGCTGTGGTCGACGAGGTCTGTGGATCGCCAAAAGATATCTTGGTTCTTGTCGCATCCATTCACAACCCGGTACGTGCTTGGTCCAATGGGGCTCGGAGCGGGAGCTGGCGGCGCAGGAGCTGGAGCTGGTGGCGAAGGAGCTGGCGGTGCAGGAGCTGGAGCTGGCGGAGCAGGAGCCGGAGCTGGGGGAGCAGGTGTAGGAGCGGGCGGGGCCGGTGCAGGGGCAGGAGGAGCAGTGGGTTGCGTTGTCACATCGGCCGGTGGCGGCGACGACGTCGTGGGGGCGTCTGAGGGTACCGTCGTGGTGGGTTCAGGCGTCACGGTAGTCGGCTCCGGAGTCACGGGGGTGACTTCAGGTGTGGGTTCCGGGGTTGGCTCCGGTGTGTCTGCGACCACGGTGGCCGGTTCGACCTCGTTTGAGATGGTGCCGCCGACGACGATTTCACCGTCGAGGGTGGTCGTCGGCGTGGGGATCGGCGTGGCGTCGTCGGTGAGGGCCGACGACTGGGTTGCATCCGACGTCGGGATCGCGGCAAGCGTGATCCCAATGGCGGCTCCAACGACCAAGAGAGCAGCTGCAACGATCATCAAGATGCGGTTGCGGCGCCGGCGCTGGAAGCTCGCTTCGTAGTCGTCGTCGTCCTTGGCATCTGGGAACGGCACGTCCGAGTCGCGGTACACGACAAGCTCCTGGTTGTTGGCCGACGTCGTGTTGGTCGGCGTGATCGTGATGATGCTGGCGTTAGCTGTCATTTTCCCGAGTCCTCCTCCATGTGTGTGCGCCAGTCTCGCCTCGCCATCACCCCCGTCGCATCGCGCGCCCTCTTCCGCCCACCATGTGTAACCCTGTCCCCCCTCCCCACCGCGGTTTTCCAATATTGAATTTAATTGTCTTACGGTTACTATATCGATTGAATAAAAATACACCGACGGTGTACACAGGTGGCGAGGTTCAGACTTTACCAGGGTGACGCCATTGCGACGACGATACGCAGCACATCCTGTGTATTGTTGTACATGCGACCTTCGCAAATCAGCATTTCAGGTGTCGATTCATCGCATGAGATGATTACGGGAAATTGTGGAAAATGTCATGGTCGTCCTCGCTGTCCATATTGTCCTGCTTTCAGCTACACCTGAATTACGTATTAAATTCGATCACAATCCGACACAAAGCAGCTGGCATCGGGGCGGCCGTTGCCGTCCATACGAAACCAGCCCAGCGCGCCATGCCTTGGAAGCTCTTGAACCCCATCACACAACTTGTGTTGCTGGGTCATGGGGCTGGAGAGCAGCACCGAGGCACTGCTTGGAGAGGTTGTGGTCGCTCGCTTGTGCCGGGTGCTTCTCCGAACGTTGCTGCACACGCCGGCAGTGCACGATCAGATCGTCCGGCCACAGGGAGGAACGGCAACAACCAAATCCCCCGACGAGATTGGTGGCGCTCGGAGTGGCCCCGCGACGATGTGCGTGCGATCTCAGGAACGTCGCGGGGGTGCCATCGCCCGCTGCACGTGGCCATCCAACGTGTCCAGCGCACGGCCACGTCATGGAGCGCGAGGAGTGGATGTTGTTGGCATCGTTGTGCACACGGCATGCATCGGGCACTGCCTCTTTGAAAACCAGCCTGCGGAGAGGAGGTGCCGCGGCGTTGCTCACGGCATTCGTCGCATGTACCGTAGAAGCTCACGGTGTCGTTCGAAGCGACGGCGATTGCTTCACGATCCTCCACAAGGATCGAACAGTCGTTGACGAGGAGGGCGGCTGAGCTCTATGCGAAGCAAGCGACGGATCTGCTCATCTTGGAGGAGGCGATGGGAGGTGCTAAACGACTCCGTCGATAGGAACTCTTAGGAGGGGGGGGGCACGGAGGAAGGGAGAGATTTGACGCTACCACCAATGCGAACACGAACAGATTCCGAGGAGGGAGGCTGGGCGCAGTCGCTGGAGCGTCGTCGTCTAGCTGGATGTGCGCTGACACGTAGCCAAGGCCGATCCACAGAGCAGTTGGCATGTATCCCCTGGCGCCATCGACGTTGGTGCACACCAAAGTCAGCCGGTCGCCCTCTGGGGCCGGGGAAGCCGCACCGACAGAAATCCAGCACTCCATCTAGCCAAGTGGCAGCCCGCCACACCGACATGAACCATGTCGATCAGGATGGAGCAATCGGAATGGCGAACTCTGCCATCGACCCCTGAATATTCCAAGAACGTGTCTGCCGCGGTGAATGGCGGCAGCGCCTCGACGTCCAACGCCCCTTTGGCCTGCTACCATGTTTGGCTCACACGGTGCCATCCTCAGGCGGGCAAGCCATGCATTCCACGGGGTCCATGCACCAAGCATGAAACCAGCGTGCGCGACATCTCCACGGAGGGATCGCCGAACGTAGATGGCGATCGTCTCATGGAATGGTCTCAGTAGAGTGAGAGAGGAGCTGGCCCCTGGTACTACCGCGGCGACAGCAGACACGTTTCCCTGTCACCGCGACTGCAGCTCGAGGTGGGGAGGCCGTTGGTGGCCACCTTCGACTGCAAGTTGTGTTAAGCGAGAGGTTGAGTGCATGATTATCAGAGCGGCTGAGCCTGCAACTTGCCCACACGTCGAGACATCTCGACGTTGTTGAGAGAACGGCAGCCGCACGAACGCGATCGAATACGACGACTCGATGACGCGAGAGACACACACCTACTACTTCTTGACCTTGACCGTCATGTCGTTTGCGTCGACGTGGTGTAAGCGGATAACATTGCGCGCCTGCGGGTTGTAGTGCTCGACGCCTTTGTGCCAGTCGTACGACGTCGCGTAGGCAAAGATCTCGCCCGTTTTGTTGAACTTGCCGGCGGAAATGCCTTGGTAATTCGGGCTACAACAACGCCGTCGTGACAGCCATGCATGATCGAGCGACAGCCGTACATTTTGGCAAAGTTGGTCAAGAGTTTGCGGGCATCCTTGTCCCAGAACGCATACGACCCGTCGGCGCCCGTGGTCGCGATGCGTCCCGAATTCTGGTGGAAGCTGATGCTTGTTACAGGGTAGATCGAGCTCGTTGTGTTGTCCCGGTGTGCTTTGAACGAAAAGTCGCGGCTATCACACAAAACTCAGATCCGGCCATTCACGCCAACGTACTCGCGGGCTTTCTCGTCCACATGTTGAATCGACACACGGCCTTCAATCGAGCCTGCAGCGAAGCCTGTCGCGTCAGGAAACGCGGCAATGCATCGCGTCTGGTACTTGAGCGTCGATTTCAGTGTCTGCATGCAAGTTAGCTCGGTCACGGGCGCGTGGCGCTTACGGCGTATATCTGCGACGGCTTCTTCAAATCAAAGCAGTGGACTTGCTTGTCCGCGGTTGCCACCACCATCAACGGGTACGACACGTCCAGTGCGTACACACGTTCGCTGAGCTGCACAGTCGCCTGGGGCTGCGGGGACCGCGAGTCCCAATACTTGACGGTCTTGTCCCAACTGCCTGTGACGACGCAGTTCGCTTGAGCAATGTGCTGGATCGATCGAATCGGCTGGTCGTGCTGCGCGATCTGTTGCCCTTGGCTGTTCCCGCCAAGTTGCCACATCATCGCGGTTTTGTCGCAGGAGCCGGAAAACACGGTCGAGCCGTCCTAGAAAGAGTCCAGGTGCATCAAACAAGCGTTATAGGGAAGTCGTCGAAGGCGTACGCCGCTGAAGGCTGTGCAGAGAACCGGGCCTTTGTGGGCAAATTGTGCCCGCGCCACTGCTTGAAAGTTGGCACCCTGATGCTGCACTTCCCAGCACCGGACGTGATTGTCCCAAGACCCCGCGGCTAAGATGTTAGCCGTGGGACTCCACGAAATGTCTTGGATGCTATCGGGAACATCGGGAGGAACGTCATAGTCGGACGCGGCCTTGCTCGCGGTCGCCGCCGCGGACGCACCAAACCCACCGAACGACATTTTCACAAATTGTGTACATACGACGTTTGATTGGTGTAAAAGAAATTTTCCGCTTCACAATTGGGTAAAACTAATAAATTCGATGATTGGTTGTATTTCACTCTATTTACGATTCGATGAAGTTTGATTGGTTAAAATTGTTGAAACCCTTCGCAATTTGAACGCCTTGCGACGAACGCGTCGAGCGCGGAACACCCAACGCCGTGTCCAAGTGAGCGCGGGAGGCAGGTCGTGCAGTCGCCACCTCCATGCACTCCATTCGAGACCATACGTCCGAAGATGCTCGCAGGTGTAGCTAACTCATCGTCGCAACTTTAGCCTTCCACGACGAAGCCCCTTGCCATGGAAGAGGCTTCGTGCCGCTGTGTCGGTGGCGCCAGGACACGATCGTCGGTAGATGAACTGGGTCGGGATATCCTCTGCCGACTCGACATGCATTTAAACCAATCGATGCATTGTTTAATGGATTATTACGACTGCCATGGACGTGCTTCGTTCTGCTATTCCGGCCCGACTCGCAGAAGAGTTGATCCAATGTTGCAGCATGCTGGGTGACCCTTCCGACTCGGTGGCGCCAAACGCCGTGCTGCCGTGCAGATCGGCATAGCCCCATGGCAGTGCCTCGGTGGGTTTGACTCAGCCCCCGCCATCGTACCACCACCGCACGACCGCGCGCGAGTCGTGTGCAGACGGAAGCGCGATGTTGGTCGACCAGACATGGACCCCTGGCGCCACGCGCCACGGCTCATTCTCGTGCGGTTGCTTGGCGGGTTTGAAGCACTCGTCCGGCATGACGTCATCCATGTCATTCACGTCAGGGAGGCGGCACACTTGGACGTGGGCGACGCCGTCGTGTTCGGCCACGACACCCACTTGAACGTTGACGGTGGAGCCGGGGGCAATGCACTTCTCGATGGCGTCGGGAGGCGAGTGGGTGCTGCGAGGGGACGACATTATCAAGAGACCGTCGGATGGAGCGATCCAGGCAACGAGGGCAGCGACCAGATGGGCTGCAGAGAACATAGCTCGCGTGGGTAGACAAAATCGAGACTGCCTTGGGCCAAACGGGTTGTTTATCGCTCCGACTCGAGCCTCCAGAATGCCCATGCGCGCATTGAACTTCACCAGTGCCATCCACAAACAGGATGTGTCTCCAATGCAGTCGACGTCCCTCGGTGGCACCCACGCTGCACACCGCGCTGGCCGATTCGCTCAGCCCTGCCCTCATCGAGACCTCAAAGGACGATGTCACCGACATTCCGTCGACCTGCCGCCCGTATTGTACTTGTCAATCGTCCGGTGAAACTTGAATGCATGCCGCTCGACCATGGACCTACGATGGCCCGCATGCGCATCCTTCCCCCGTGATGGGTACGAGGCATGCAAACCTTCCTGGACGGCGAGCGAACACACCGTTGTTGGAATGTGAATTTGTGCCGCTTTCGACTTGAGCAAGTTGCACGTTCATAGTTTGGGGGTACTAAATCCGTTCGATGGGAGACGAGATCGGGTCCGTGGATGCGATGCTGGCGGCCGATTTCTGGTGCACGATCCAGCCGACCATGAGAATTCCACCGGCGCCGAGCAGGATCGCCAACGCCGCGGCCGTAGTCGGCGCTGGCAACATGCAATCCATCGCAGCCACAAGCGAGTTGGACACTGCAAACGCGCCAGTACAGCTCGTGGCGACGGCGAGGAACAGTGCATTTTCGTTCAAAGCATGGCACGCACAGATGAGACCAATCGCGAGCACGACGGCCATGATGCCCCACGAGAGTTCGGTGGTCGTAGGGACGTCCAAGATGCCGAGCAGGACGGTAAAGAACGCGTCGGTGACGGTCGCGCCGAGCCCAAATCCAATCGCCCAGGCGCCGATCCTTGGCTCTGCCATGAATGCAACCACGGTCCCAACGACGAACGCCACGGTGAAGCCGACCAAACAATAATGCAGTGAGTATACTGAAATGACATTGAACGTCATGAATGTAGCCAAAAAGTACGATGACCGCTTGGCGGACATGCCGCGGAACGTCACGATGAGCCCCACGAGAACCAGCAGCAGCTGCATGGCGGAGACGACGAGAGCGAGGTCGTTCCAAGCAATGGAGTCGATGGTCTCGAACGACTTGAACGCGTTGGACAGGACGCGGGGATGGTGCCCATGTTGTGATGTCGCACTACCGTGCAGGAAGACAGGGAGCATCGCTAGATTTTAAATGGGCTCCGTTTGGTGTGCACGCTGCGCTGCTTCAGGTCGATCCCTTCTAGCAGACAAGATGCATGGCTCCTGGGAGTCCAAGCAGGAGGAAGTTGCGTCGATCCAATATCCGTGGCACCAAGAACAAAATAGCGGCTCCACCACCATTGCAACCTGTACCTCCCATGCACGAGCGGCGTTCTCAATGGGCTCAAACGCTTTCCCCCGTGCTCCCAGGAAACATGCGCCGTCCAGGGAGCCACCCCACGAATCCAAGATTGTCAGGCTCGAGGGAATGTACGTCGTTGTACCCACAAAATGTTGGTCCAATTCGTCCGTTCGCCGCAAGTTGCCATCAGCTGCCGATGGCATCCGTGCGAATACCAGCGGAAGGACCCGGTGTACTGGCGGCGCGGGGATGCCTACGTCGTCGTCGAGTGTCGGCCTTCGGCAGTTCACGTAGCCCACGACGTAGCCATCACGCCAGAGAAGCATGGCCAGGTATTGCTGCGTCCACTCGTAAGCAGCGTGACGCGAACGCGAAAGATGTTGCCGAGTCGTCACGTGGGGACCGAAGTCCAAGTCGAGGAAGATGGTTCAGATGTATTATATATTAGTCCGGAACATTACAGCGAGTTTTCAACCACGGTCATGAGCAACTTGCGGAAGTCGCCGCTCGTTTCACCGTAGATGCGGTCGCGCAACGACTCGCCGTACTTGGCCTTGTAGGCAGGGGCGACTTGGGGCAAGTACGCTTGGTAGCGGATGAGCGCAGCCGAGAGACCGTACTCGTCGGTGCCAATGCCCTTCATCGTCTTTTCGAATTGCTCGACTATCGTATTGATCGGGTCCGTGATCATGTTGTAGTGAAACAACATCGCACGTTCGGTGTGGCCACCGAACTCCTTCTCGATCGCACGCGACAAGCTGTTCTTGTGCTTGGCAACGTACGCGGCGTTCACTTGGTTCATGAACTCGGGAGGGATCGACCACAACGTGTTGCAGAAAGTCGTTTCGTCCGTGCCCCACTTGCCTTCGCCGGCCTTGTAGATGATTTCTGCCAATTCTTCGGCCTTGCGTTGGTTGTGGATGGCCGGATCGTACTTTTGGGTCAGGGAGTTCAACACGGACAAGTAGTGCTTCTTCAAGTCACCGCCAATATCGTCAGCAATCACGACAACCAAGTCTTCACCGAAGACCTTGAAGAAAGCCTTCTTCAGGATCGCCAATTCTTCTGGGGAGCGGCCGCCCAAGACAGGGTACAACAAGTTTTCGTTGGTGCCGGCACCCTTGGTCGCGTTGCGAATGATCATGGCTTCGGCTTCTTCCAATGGTTGGGCAAGCAATTCGCAGAGCTTGCCGTAGTCGCCGGACGTTTCACTCTGGACTTCCGCCAACAACGTGCGGCCGTTGTGGAGTTGAGGGTAGCGGATCGAGACCAAGTGGCGGGTGCTCGCCTTGAGCGAGCCCAAGACACGGTTCAACCGCGCTTCGTCCGTGCCAAATCCGGCGCACGCAGCCTTGATTTCATGGCAGAGGTTGTCGATTTCGTGGGACGCAGGGTTGATCGCAACACCGTTGTTGATTTCGTACGCTTGTTGCGGGTACAGCGGCAAGTACGACATGGCGACGGAGACGAGTGCGCGCGACGAAGAAAATGCGAAAATGACTCGGGGGCCGTAGTCACTTCGAGAAGCTCAAAAATCCAACCAATCCGCGTCGTTGGATGGATGCGCAAGTCGTTTAAGTGCGAATTCGGCCGTTCTAAATACGACCAAAAAATACCATCTTGCAGTATATTTTGTACTCTCTTCAAAGCCAAGTCAACGTGACGTGTAGAATACAGACCTAAAAAATACCTGCAAATCTTTGTACTACAACAAGAAATGAACCAGATAAAGAACCACACGCATTAAAACAATTTGCATGATACGTGTAGGATAGTCAACTACTTCTTCGAGGCACATGATAATTTGATACAAACATAATCCATCTCATGTCGATTCAAAAGATCTTTATAAAACACCCCTTTTTGGATTCATTATATTGTATTCGATTTATCCGCTCAAGGAATATCTTGAAGAAGGATGTAGAGGATGACCATCCAAGTGTCGGCAAAGTGCGACCAGGTCTCTGTTACGTGCGATCCACTGAATTTGGAGTTACAACCCGACGACGCTCCATTCCATGTTTTTCCGTGGAAGTTTGGGTCGTGGCACGCGAGCGAGCGCGGTTGTCGACGAGCTTGCGCATCCTTTCCAGCTGCTGGAACATCCTGCCATACCATGGCCATCTGCTCGGAATAAAGGCAAATGGCAGGAGCAGCTGAGAGAACGGGGAGCGGCAAAGGTTTAGGATGAAGTCGCCGTTGGACACGTGCACGGTGACCCTATTTTCTCGCCAACGATATCGTGCAGAGGCCTTCCGTTCACCCTTGGAAACCACTTTCTAAAAACAGACAGCAAACGCCAGCGCAGGCACTTGAGCCACCAGCGACGTCCAAGCTTGAAGTCACGGCGAACATCATTGTGTATGTTTCTGTTCGTGCTACATTCGACACGGAAGCTGTTGACGAGAGAAATCGAGGATTGGTGAAGCAGCAAGTACGAGCCTAACACGCACCATCGCGCAGATTTGAATGGGTCAAGCTTGGCACGCAGGAGTCGCCCGACTCGAGCCGCATCCACCCCATCCTCAGCAGCGCGACACTCTTATTCACCACCAGGTAAAACCAAATGCCGAACCCGACGAAGCATCGGAACCAGCGCCAACTCTGCTCGAAGAACGACAAGTCGACGCACTCGGCGAAGGTTGCGCTCCCGGCATACGGCGATGTATCGAAGGTGGATGCATGGCCTGTGTCGTGATGTCGCGAACTGTGTTGGGTTGTGGTCGAGCAAGTGGATCTCGACCATTTGCGCGCCGAATCGAAGCGGTACAGCAAAAAGGCCGCAAGGATCGACCCGCGCGACACCTTCCAGAGAGTGCGGAAGCTGCGGATCAAAGCATTTGACTTTATAGAGGTCGTCTGTGGTGTTGTCGCCGCAGTGCTTCCCTCTAACTCTACGGCAACTATGTGCCTTTGATCGCTGTAATCGACATTGAGGTCGTCATGCGACTGTTGTCGAGGAGACTCCATGCCATGGAGCTGCGACACTTGATGCTGACTTGACCTCGGTCAACACACCAGGCTTCAATTGGCGAAGGACGCTCGTATACCGCAGTACAAGGCGCACAGCGCGGCGGCGAATGCGAGGGAAAGCGTGTCTGAGTGCTCTTTGTGGGCACAATTTGTTGCCGCAGGATGCCTCGTGGCTGAGTTGGATAGCACTCTAAGGATAGAGGTGCCGTCGTCCACAGCATGCGTCGAATGCAATTGCCATTCGAGATGACACTTATCACGCTGTCCTGTGCGCAGACTGTAGTGCCAAGACCTGCAGTCGTCCGCCTCGACACGTGAATGGTGGTTGGTACCCAAAGCTCAGCTTCGGCACAAAACGGTCGCAGCATCTCTCGGCGCTGCTACGAGGGAGCGCTCAGTTACGTATCCAGGGCGAACAAGTTGGAGATGATGTCGACATTAGTTTATGCGTTTACGACAGTCTATTCGATCTAGTCCATCGCCTAGGGCCCTACAACTTTGCTTGGCGTGTAGGGGGCGCAGGCACGGTTGGTCCTGCAATAAAATATTTAGTGGCGCATCGCGCGATCGTACACGATCATGAGCAACTTCTGAAAGTCGCCGCTGGTTTCGCCATGGATGCGTTCGCGGAGGTGCTTGCCATGCTTGGCTTTGTAGACTTGGGCAACTTGAGGCAAGATCGACGAATACCGGATCAAGGCAGCCGTCAAGCCATATTCGTCCGTGCCGAGGCCTTTCATGGTCTTCTCGAACTGGTCCGCGATCGCTTCGACCGTGTTGAGTTGGATCTGGACGTGGAACTTGAGGGCGCGTTCAGCATCACCGCTAAATTCCTTTTCAATCGCAACAATCAGCCCGTGGTTGTGCTTGGCCTTGTAGGCAGCATCGACGGCGGCAAGGAACTCGGACGGGATCGAGTATAACGCATTCACAAATGCGCTTTCGTCGGTGCCCCACTTGCCTTCGCCGGCCTTGTAGATAACTTCCGCAATTTCTTCGGCCTTGTGGCGCGTGTGGACGGCCGGATCGTACGTCTGAGCGAACGAGTTCAAAGCAGCCAAGTAGACTTTCTTGAGGTCGCCACCGACATCGTCGGCTACGACCACGACCAAGTCTTCTTGGTACTTTTGGAAGAACGCCTTCTTCAAGATGGCAAGCTCTTCAGGGGAGCGGCCGCCCAGGAGAGGGTACATGAGGTCTTCGTTGGTACCAGAGCCCTTGGTCGCATCGCGCAGGATGGTAGCTTCAGCGTCTTCCAGCGGCTGGGCCAACAGTTCGAGAGCTTTGCCGTAGTCACCGGACGTTTCGCTCTTGACTTCATCCAGCAGCGACTTCTTGTGGATCTGCGGGTACCGAACGCTGATCAAGTAGCGTTCGCGGGTCGTGCGGTTGCCCAGCGCGTGGCTCAACCGGTCTTCGTCCGTGCCGAAACCAGCGGCGGCCGAGTAAATCTCGTTGACGAGGTTGTCGATTTCCGGCGACGACGTCGAGATCGTGGCGCCGTTGTGGGCATCGCGCGTTTCTTGCGAGTACACGTTGAAAAAGGTCATGGGAATCGAGCGGGGGATTTGTTCGTAGGGATGCAAGTTGCAAAGTGAGCGCCATGGCTGTCGGCCGCCACCGCGTTTGGCACCGTACGACGTGGCTACCCATTGACTTTGCGAAAGGGCTGCCGACTTTGCACCGCGAAACCACGCGTCATCTCGTTCGGTGTCGGAAAGATCCTCGTCATGCCACCTTTTCTTCCCCGCAAGTGTGTCCCGTAGGCATATTTCCCAAAACTTTCAAATACCACGAATACTCAAACCAAGTGGAAGGTCGGGTCTCACGCAGGTGCGCCATTTTTATGCGTAAGGGGGGCTGCATTCCAGGGGAAATCTTCCCAGTGTGGGCGTATACCCAGCGGACGTTGAATGTTCTCGCGCGTGGTGGGGTTGTCAAAGCATCAGCCAATCAGATGCGTCCTTGACTGGCGTCAAGCCCCCACGCGAGGTGATTTCATTGGTGCGTTTTTATATTTCATACAAAAACGCATAGAAATAGCAATAAAAACGACGAATGCGTGCCAAAGCAAAGTGCTCGCATTGGATTGGCTCTTGCAAAGATTCAGCGGCGGAGATCATTTTTATTAAAATTCTCAACCGACTGCATACGTTGATTCAATGATCAAGGGCTATTTTAATACGTATTGCAAGTGTCTTGCGTCCAGTATGTGGCCAGGGAGGTCATGGACAGGGAGGGATTTCCATGGACTGTCGTCGGATTGTGACGATACTCTTGACTTGAGTATGTTGGCA